TGCACCTGTTCGTGGGCCGCGGCCTCACCCTCGCCCAGCCCAGCAAGGGGCCCACAGGTGAGTGGGAGGTGCGGGGCCCGGGTCCCCTCAGAGTCTGTGGAGCCAGCGGGGCATGCAGCTGGGACAGGCTCAGCGGATCCTGGCTCTGACCCCTCGAGGAAACAGCCACAGTTTGTGGGCGAACAGCTCATACGTGAGTAGCGCGGCTGTCGCCAGGTGAGATGTGTCGAGGTCTGGCTGGGCTTCCTGGGTGGTGGCGCTGGGTTCTGGTCCCTGTGACAGGGCGGGCGGGGGGAGGCAGTGTCCGCCGGGCGGCAGGAGAGACCCTCACCTTGCGCGTGTGGCTCGTGGCAGGTACAGGCAGTGTGGACGGCGTGCTGGGCCGGGTGCCGCAGACCGTGGTCGATGACGAGGACAGCGGCCTGCGGGCCGCGCTGGAGGCGTCGCTGGAGCTGCGGGGCCTGGGCCGCGTGGCCGACAACGCACAGCAGCAGTACGTGCGCTCGCGGCCTGCCCCCTCGCCCGAGTCCATCAAGAGGGCCAAGGAGCTGGACCTGGCGGGGCTGGGCCTGCACCCGCTCTTCAGTGAGTCCCGCACGGGGCTGGGGCAGCGGGGGGCCCCTCGGACCCCACCCCGCCTCACCCGCAACCCACCCCAGGCTCGCGCTTTGAGGAGGCAGAGCTGCAGCGGCTGAGGCTGGTGGACGGCATCAGGCGGTACCGCTCGCGGGCGGTGAGTGAGCCCAGGCCGGGCGCCCCCTGACCCCCGCAGGACTCCCAAGCTTCCTGAGCTTGTAGCTTTTCTCCTGGCGGCTGGCTTGGGTGTTGGACCCCACTGTCCTGGGCCAACACTGCCCCTTGGCAGGTCCCTATGGAGAGCCATGTACCCGCTTCCCCCAGGGTAGACAAGCTCGCAGGGCCTGACTGCCCTGGGCTTGGACACCCGGCTTTCCCTCCCTTTTCTTGGCTCCCAGGAGCTCCCCATTTGTGCATTCATATTGGGGTGCACAAAAGCCAGGACAGACCTCCGGAACAGGTATGGCCGCCAGCCTGCCGTTAGCAAACCATACCATGGTCAAGATCACTGGTCTCAGAGCCATGTGGATGTGGGTGGGGGCCCAGGCACTGGCTTCTCCTAGCTGTGTGGCTTTGGGCAAGTTACCCGGCCTCTCTGGGCCTCCCTTGCTAATCGTGAGGCGCCCACTCACGCAGTGGCGGAGGTGCTGGGCAGGGTGCCTGGGGAGGCTTACCCTGCTGGTGACGCGGGGCTGGGCATGGAGGCCGCTGGCAATGGGCTCGGTGTCCCCTGCAGACCATCTTCGAGATCAGTGCCTCCAGCCGGGACCCAAGCAGCCAGGTGATGCGTGCCAAGCGGCAGAAGGACTGCAGAGCCATTGCTCGCTTCCAGCATGGACGGCAGGAGCAACGGGAAGGCCCGGCTGAGCCTGCCCCCACCTGCCCCGTGTCAACGGAGGAGCGGCCAGAGGCGGAAGAGGACGCGGGAGAGAGTGTGGAGGTGCGAGGCCCCAGGCCCCGGGGGCTGGGCTGGATCCCAGCGGGTGCCGTGTAGGTGATGCTCAGTGAGACCGCGGATGCCAAGCTCGCTGGAGCCCTGCAGCGCCACCGCGGGGGCTGGACAGACAGCGCGGCTTCCTGCAGGCTGAGGACAGCTGCTCTGCCCTGGGCTGTGGTGACCCGCATACTGCTGCCCTGTGGCAGCGGTCCTGTCCCCAGGACCAAGCTGACCGGTGCCGGTGTGCAGGAGCCCTGTCGGTGGCCAGCGGTGTTAGTGTGTTGTCGGCAGCCCCAGCCTCAGGGCCAGGCGGGTGGGAGGGGGCTGAGGAAGGACGTGGGCACAGCCAGTGTGCCGTGGCAGTGCCAGGCACTGGGTTTCCGGAGGCAGGGCTGGAAGGCCCCTGAGTGCAGTCAGCAGACGAGGCAGGCGGGTCCCCGACCCGCAGCTCCCCCAGTGTCTCAGATCTCCTTTGGATGGAGGGCTCGGTGGCCGGGAAGCAGAGGCGGAAACGTGCACGTGGCAGGCCCAGAGTGGGTCTTGACAAGCGGAGACCCTGTGAGGGTCTCACACCAGCCCGCAGACCGCAAGCCAGGCTCCTACGTAGGGTTGCCCGGAACTCGTGTCCCCAGGGCTGCAGGCATGACCCTGCGCCTCCTGGCAGGACACGTTCACCGAGATTGTAGGCCAGAAGCGGCCGAGGCCAGGCCCGGACCGAGGAGCCAAGAGGCGGAGGGAGGAGGCGCGGCGGCAGGACCAGGAGTTCTACGTCCCCTACCGGCCCAAGGACTTCGACAGCGAACGGGGGTGAGTGGCGGCGGGTCCCGAGGGGCCGGCCGGGCTGCTGGGCCCCGCCAACCGCGCTGTGTCTCCCACCCTCTGTCTACAGCCTGAGCGTGGAGGGTGCCACGGGGGCCTTTGAGCAGCAGGTGGCCGGCGCCGTCCTGGACCTGCTGGGGGATGAGGCGCAGAACCTGACCCGAAGCCGGCAGCAGCTCAAGTGGTGAGTGACCCTCCAGCGCCCTGTGGTGCTGCCGACAGCAGCAGCAGTGACCCGTCCTGCCCGGCTTGTCCCTTGATTTGATCGTACATGACGGGGCTCTTGACCCTGCGTGTCTTTTTGCCAACTGTTCCTGGAGCTGGCTTCATGACCCTGCGAGGGTCACAGCGCCAGGAAGCAGTGGGTGGGGAGTGAACCCTCCAGGAGGCCCTGGTCCCCGACCCCAGCCCCAGTGCTGGCGCCCGGCCCCTGACCCCAGACTCCCCCTGAGACCTGGCTGCCAGCGGTGGTGAGGAGGAGCGGGGAGCGGGCCTTTACTAAGCACCTACTGCATGCAGGCGTGCTGCCCTCCTCCAGCGGCCCCATGAAAGGGTCAGGTGAGGAAACAGGCCCCGCCCCCACCTCCCTCTCCCACAGGGACCGGAAGAAGAAGCGTTTTGTGGGACAGTCAGGACAGGGGGACAAGAAGAAGATCAAGACTGAGAGTGGCCGCTACATCAGCAGCTCCTACAAGCGGGACCTGTATCCGGGTGGGGCCTTGGGACTGGACGGGGGTGGGGGGTGGCCTTCTCCACAGCAGCGCCTATAAGGAGCCTGTGTTCGCGGGGGGCGGGGCCAGCGGGGGGCGGGGCCTGGCGGCTTCCTCGGTGAAAGGGCTGGGTGCTGGGGGTGGGGCCGGAGGGGCGTAGCCTGTCCAGGGAGTGCCCAGTGACTTTCCTTAACCGAGCGCCCCAGCTACCAGAAGTGGAAACAGAAACAGAAAATCGAGGATCGGGACTCGGAGGAGGAAGGGCCATCTGACCGCGGAGGCCCACCTTGGCGAGGTGGGAAGCGAGGGCGTGGCCCAGGTGAGCTCGGGACGGGAGTGGGGGTGTGCAAGCGTCCGGGGCGAGTTGGTAGTCAGAAACTGAGACACAGAGCTGCGCATAGCCCCGGAGCTGGGTCGGGTAGGTGGGCATTGCCAGGGCGCACCCTGCGCGCCTCCTCAGACCCCGCCCCCACCCGTACCTGGCCTGTCCCTCGGTGACCTCGACCTGGCCGCCGCGTCCCTGCATCGCTACCGGCGATGTGGCCATCCAGCTGCCCGCATAGGTGCTGCCCTCGGGCGCGGCCAGCCGCAGCCGCAGCCGCAGCCGAGGTCCAGCCTGGCGGGGAGTGGGGAGCAGGCTGAGAAAGTCCCCCCGGGAGGCGGGGAGGGCGGCCTCCCGCCTACACTGGCAGGTGGGCCCTGTGGTCTCCTGGGGCTTGGCCTGGGTCCCTGTGCCACTCACATGCTAAGGCAGGTGTGGGAGCTGCCCATCTGCCAGGGTCTGTGCCCAGGGACCACCCTGACCTGGCGGGAGGTCTGTGAGGAAGCTCAGGGTCTGCCCTGAAGGGCAGAGAGGCTGTCCCTGCCCACCCCGCTCAGACCCTGGGAGGACCTGCAGTCCAGCTCCCTGCCGCCCCACCGGCCCTGGCCTCTGTGGTGAGGGCTGCCGCCCGCGGGGGGGACCAGGTTCTGTCCTGGACGTGCCATGCACGGCCTGGGGCTGGAAGACTGTGAGCGCCCATATTGCAGATGGGGAAACTGAGGCAGCTCCCAGGGTGGGGATGTGGGGACTGAGCTCGAGGCCCTGGGCCCTGCTCATCTCCCCCAGCCCCAGGAGTGGGCAGAGCCTCCGTGTTTGCCTGAGCCCGTCCGTGCGGCGCCCGCTCCCCCCTGCCCTGCTCCCCTCACTGCGTCCTCCGCCTCTGCCCTCTGTCCCTGCCTGGCCGTCTTTGCCGCATCCCTCGCTTTTCCCGTGCTCTGTCCTCACTAAGCACCCGCTGTGCACCGGGCTCCGGCTGCAGCAGCAAGCGCAGGGTGGAAGCAGAAGTGGGGTGTTCTGGGGGCGCGGGAGGGGAGACCCTTGGAGGCCCCCCCCACCCGTCTGGAGCTGAGCCCCTGCACCCCTGTCCGGCAGGTGCGTCCCGGCCCCGCGCCCCTGGCACCCCCACAAGCCGCGTTCGCTCTGAGCTCAAGACCAGGCAGCAGATCCTGAAGCAGCGCCGGCGGGCCCAGAAGCTGCGCTTCCTGCAGCGCGGCGGCCTCAAGCAGCTGTCTGCCCGCAACCGCCGCCGGGCCCAGGAGCTGCAGCGGGGCGCCTTCGGCCGGGGCGCCCCCTCTAAAAAGGGCAAGATGAGGAAGAGGATGTGAAAACCAGGGTCTGGGCCCAAGGCTTCTCTCCTGGCCCTGCCTGGACATCGGCGGTCATTTCCCCATGCACTACTCGAGGAGCCCCCTGCCTCCCGAAAAGGAGCGCTGTGCAGCCATAGAAGACAGCAGCTGCCTCTGCCAAGACAGAGACATTCGAGCAGGGTCTTGAAGGGTGCGTAGGAGTTTGCAAGCAAAGCCAAGCAGGCCAAGTCCTGAGTTGATAACTTGGTTGCTGCTGCTTCCATGTGTTGTGGGTTCACAGTTCTTGTCCATATGGTCTGAGCTCTGAGCGCCTCAGGTTCAGTGACAGGTTTTTAATAAATAAACCTTTATTGAGCATCTCTGGTAGACCAGGAGTACAGTGTCTTTGGGCTATGCCCCCACCATCCCCTGGGTCCCCTGAGGACGGCTCTGTTGGGGTCCTGGTGGCCTGTGTCTTGCTTCAGGTTCCTAGGTCACAGTGACCCAGCGGCTGGACCCCAGGGCAGGCCCATCCCCCAGCAGAGTCCCGCAGCGGTCTTGGGACCAGGCACAGACTTCCTCTGCACCGCGGCCCGCCTGCTGAACACCCTGCTCGAGTTTGCTGTGGGGCTGCCCCTGAGCCGCTCTGGGACCCACACACCTGTCTGTCCCACCCGCTGGGGGGAGGGCGTGGCCCCAGGTCCCACGGTGGGCAAGCTGTGGGACGCACAACCCCTGTCTTCGTTGCTGCCCTGACCTGTGTGTACGGGGAGCCTGTGTGTTTCCCTCTGTCAGCCCCACAGCAGCACGGGCAGGCACTCTCACCTTCCTGGTGAGAAAACACGTCCAGGTCAGCCACAACCTGCACCCCACCGGAAGTGCAGGTCCCTACTGCTCAGTGCTTCCGGCTAAGGAGCCGTGGCCCGGGCTCAGCCTGGCGGAGGCTGGCCAGCGTGGCAGAGAGGTCCAGGATGAACAGCTTCACCTGGGGACCCAACATGGCCAGTCACATCCTGGTCCCCAACTGCTGGCCAGCCTACCTCTGACACCCCACAGGGGTGAAGGCAGGGGCGGGGTGGGGGAGCCTGTTAAGGGAGCAGCAGGGATGTCACATGGTTCCCAGACAGGGAGTGGGAGCTCCAGAGGGTTCCAGTCCCCAGCCTAAGAATTTCACTGCCTCAAGTCCCTGAATTGGATTGGGTACATTCACTGGTTTGTGACCTCGTCTCCACAGGTGACCCTGTCTTGTGTTTTAATTAACAACTGGGGGAGGGGCTGAGGATTTAGCTCAGTGGCACAGTGCCTGCCTGGCAAGCGCAAGGTTGTGAGTTCAATTCCTGGTACCGGAAGGAAAACAAAAACAAAAAAAAACAACTGGGCGGATTTCAACCCAGGGCCTTCGCACTGAGCTATATCCTCAGCCCTTAATACTTTGAGACAGGGTCTCCCTAAGTCACTAAGTTGCCCAGGCTGTCCTTGAACTTACAGTCCTCCTGCCTCAGCCTCCCAAAGAGCTGCAATTACAGATGTGGGCCACTGTACCCAGCTCAACATTTACTACTTATATGGACTTCATAATACGCACTTCATGAAGGCCCATAGATCCACTGCCAGGAGCTAGGCCTTGATGGCAAACTCAAAGCCACCTGGGGACTCCCCTACACACTGGTCACCTAAGTCTTGAAGGGAACCATCTCCACAGAGGACAGAAAACGGATAATGAAGTCACCCTTCGTCATGGCAGAAGTCACTGGGCAAGTAATAACCCAAGGACTGAGTGCTTCCCCATGCTCTGGGACAAGACAAGGAGCCCCAGGCCCGGAGATACAGTCCGGTGGGGGTAGAGGCACAGAACTGTCCCGAGTGTGCCTCCTTGGCAGGGTCAAGGGCCGATGGGAGACAGACTGACTTTGCGTGTCCGCAGACCCCGCGTCCTCCCTGGAGCCAGTGAGCGTCCCCAGGAGCCTGGGCCACACTTGGGAGGTCAGCGGCAGCCGGCAGCCTATCCAAGCAGGAGGTGCCTCACAGCCTGATGGTGGGGGGGCGGGGTACGGGGGGAGGGTGTGGGGGGGTGGTGACTGCCCTCCCTTTCCGTCCTCTTTAGGCACCCCAGGAAACCCCGAGGGAAGAACCTTGAGCCTGAAGCCCCGCCCTCCCTTGCAACCTGGCCCCTGCTCCATGCGCTTGGGCTACGTGGACACTCGGTGCACCGCTGCACACCCCATCAAACCCAGCCTCCCCCTCCCCAGGGCAGCCAGAGCAGAGGGTCCGGGGTGAATTACAAGTGACCGTACACCTCCTGCGGTCCTAGCAATGTCGCCAGTGTGCGGTTTGTTCCTGGGAGAAAGGGACTCTTCCTGCATGAGAGCCCACGGAGCCCCAGAGGGACACAGCCGCCTCCCCACAAAGCACTGGGATTGGGCCCAGGGCCTTTGCACTGAGCATCCCCAGCCCAGCCCCCCTGCCCCCTCCCTTTTTTTGTTTTTTGAGACTGGGTCTTGCTCTGCAGTTCAGGCTTGGCTTGAACTCACTGTGTATCCCAGGCTGGCCTCGAACTCACAGCAGTCCTCCTGCCCCAGCCTCCCGAGTGCTGGGATTACAGCCGCGAGCTGTCACACCTGGCTACCCTTTCTATTTCTTATTCTGAGACAGTGGCTCACCAAGTTGCTAAATGGCCCAGGTTGGGGCTCAGACTTACAATCTTCCCACCTCAGCCTCCCAGAGTGCTACCGGGCTGCAGAGCGGCACAGCTTCCTTCTGGGCACACAGTAGATGACCCAGAGCTGCGACAAAACAGCACGCCCACATCTGGGACAAGGGCTCTGAACAAGCTCAGCCTACAGACTCGTCGCCCATGGCGGATTTCCAGGCGCCTCCATGTTTCCAAAGAGCGGGTGCTTCGGCCCGGGGCGCAGGAAGAGGGGCCCTCACCTGCTCCAGCTGCCCCTCCGTGTCCTCCACGTCCAGGACGGGCGGCTGCCGTTGGTGCTGGCTCACCAGCTGGGACAGGTTGAGCGCCGACATCCTCGCGCGCCCCAGGAGCAAGGTCTTCTCCGCCGCGGTGCTCTGGATCTGAATCCACCTGGATTCCTGGCAAAGAACGCCCGCCCCGAGCCCGGTCGCAGCGGAGCGCTGGGGTTTCCTTGCCGCCCACCTGCCCGCCAGGTGCGCACAGGTGCCTCGGGGACAGGCACTGCCGGTTCAATTCACAGGGCGCCCCGTGCTCAGAGGCCTCTAGAGCCCGAGCCTCTCCCGGGCGTGCTAGGCCCACCTTCTCTCCCCGGGCGCGCGCGGAGCCTGGGGCGCGCGCCCACCCCGTGGGCCGTACCCACCGCAGCCTGCGCTCCCGCGCCTCCTCCAGCCGCTGCTGCAGCTCAGCGCGCCGCCGACTCAGCGCCAGCAGCTCGTCCTGTCCCGCATCCCGCAGCCGCTGCAGCCCCGCGCGCGCCGCCTCCAGCTCCGCTCGCCGCTCGCGCTCGGCCTGCCGCAGCGCGTCCCGCGTGTCCGCCAAGCCCTCGAAGCGCGCCACCAGCTCGGGGACCTCCTGGAACTGGGGCGGGGGCTCAGGGCTGCTCACGTGGCCCGCAGCCGCCCGCCTCCCCTCCCCCCTGTGAAAGGGGGGCACCTCATCGCAGGACACCACAATCGGGGACAGCAGGAGCCGTGGGCTGGGAGTTCTGTTCCCATCCTCCCCCCACCCCCGTCAAGCCCCAGTTTAATTGATCACTGCCTGTGATTAACCCACTTTGTGTTCGTGCAGTTCACGATACTGATTGGTACTGGGGGGACCCCTTTCCATTGAACTTCATCTCTAGCCCCGCCCCCTTTTAAAATTTATTTATTTTTGAGAGAAGGTTTCGATATGTAGTTAAGGCTGCCCTTGAGCTCACTTTGTAGCCCAGGTTGGTCTCTAACTCGCCGGGCGATCCTGCTGCCTCAGCCTCCTAAATGCCCGGATTACAGGAGTGAACTCCCCCCTCCCCCTCACTTTGAGCCCAGCTCTTGCTAAGCTGCCCAGGCTTGCAATTCTCCTGTCTCAGCCTCTCAAAGTGTTGGGGTTATAAAACTGATTGATTGTCTGCCCCCACCCCACATGCTTGCTTGCTCGCTCGCTCAATAGCGCGACCTTAACTGAGAGTCGGCTCTCTGAAACTTCTCCTTTGCTCTGTAAAATGGGGTTGACAATAGCAGGACCCACTGTTTTACACTACAACTCAAAGACACTGCATGGCCAGGCCCAGCGGCCAAGTCTATAATTCCGGGTACTCATGAGGCCAAGGCAGGAGGGTCATAAATTCAATCCCAGCCTGGGCACTTTAGTGAGACCCAGTCACAGAGCAAACTACGAGGGCCTGGGGCTGGAGCTCGGTGGCGGCGCGCTTGTCTAGCATAGTCACGCCCCTGGGTTCCATCCCCAGCATAGGAAGAAAAAATAAAAACGCACATATCGCTGGCATAACTGAGCGCTTGTGATTGACGATCTTGCATACAATCAGTGTTCCGTCAGTGACCAAAACCTTTCCCAGAGGCCCAGCCGCGCGCAGCTCACCTCGGGTAGCTGCTCCAGCACGCGCTCCAACAGACGCGCGCAGGGCTCCCGGCGCCCC